AGGAGGATGAAGAGGAGGAGGATGAAGAGCAGGAGGCAGAGGCAGGAGTCGCAAAGCGCCGTCACTTTATTAAACTCCCCGTTACAGCACCAACGACCGGAGGTGCCCCGCCGCTCTTGGCCCGGTGGCCCCGCACTAAGCCCTTCTCGGGACAGCGGAGCACGAGGAGCCCGTCCCCTCCCCAGCAGCCCTCTCCACACAAGGCACTTGGGCAGCACCGGCCCCCTGGCTCCCTGAGTGGCTCAGGCCCGGCCGCGGGCTCTGGCTCACAGCCTGTTCCTTGTCACTTGCAAGAACCTACAGGAGTCACTCCAAGCAGCAGCTTCCAGCCTCTGTGCCAGGAGCCAGCAGGGAAAAAGCTTCTGCAGAGACCGGCAGCTGCTCCTAGAGCCGTGGAGGAGCTAACAGAACTGTGAGCAGCATCTTCTGCAGCTGACCCTTCCCCCAAGACTCTTGTACCATGTCTGGGATGTGGAGAGGACCTAGATGTCTTCACACACTGCCCTCCTACCAGTAAGGAGCCTGGGTCTCTGAACGCTGCCAGGTCTGCAGGTGAGAAAGGACCAGGGCGGCAGCCCCAGAGGTGCCAAGATGCTCCCAGGCCCCACTGGCACTCTTCACGGCACGGGAGGACCCGCCCACATGGCGGATCTTGTAGTTCTTCCCATGGTTGTTGTCCCAGTGGGTCTTCTGTCCACACTGGAAGGAGATGCAGAACTCTGTGGCCCTGCGGCCGCTGGCTGGCCTGGGCAGGGTGAGCTCAAAAGAGAAGATGTCTGTGTCGGCTGAGCCGTACGTGCTGTGCATGTACTGGCAGGGGACGTCCCGGAAGCTCTTCCAGCCGTCGAAGGTGATGCGGACTGCCACCTTCTTCTCATAGGCAATGTTTCTGACCTTCACTGTCCCTGACAGAGCACGGTCCTGGATCACACAGCTCTCCAGGCAGACGAGGTTCCTGTGCAGGCTGCTGCGGAAAGCCGTGTAGTCCACTGAGGGCTGTGGGAAGTCCAGCACGTACCTGCACGCTTCTGGGCGTGAGTCCCACAGCCTGGGGCGGAAGGAGGCAAGGTCTGACAGGGCATGTTGCAAGTCACAGAGGTCCTCCTCAATCCTTGAGAAGAAGCGGACGGCCGTCAGCGAGAGCCCCTTCATATCAGCAAACACGACTCGCTTCTTCTTCTGGCCCTTGGAGCCCTTGGCGCTGTCTCGCCGCTCGGGCTCGGGTTCTGCGCTCAGCTTCTGGTTGAGACAGGATCGGAGGGGTTTGCGGCCTCGGTTGCCCCGCAGCTCCTCGTAGGAGTTCAGCAGCTTGCGGATGGGGGGCGAGTGGCTCAGGCAGAGCCGCACGGCCAGGTCCACGGGCATGGCTGGGGGGGCGACGGCCCGCCTGCCGCACACCTGGAAAAGCCTAGAGGCGAAGAGGGGGTCAGGCCCCGGCCGCCAGCCCCGGCGAGCCCCCCGGCCCCGCCCGCCCCGGCCCCGCTCACTCGCCGCAGCTCATCGCGTCCCGCGCGCTCCGCTCCGCTCCCGCCGCGGCGGCTCCGCATCAATGGGGCCGTGGGAGCGCCCGCGCCCGGGACACCCCGCCTCGGCCAATCAGCGCAGAGGACACGCCCCAGCCACGCCCCCGGCCACGCCCCCCGGAGCGGGCAAGGAAAGGGGAGACCCTCGGGGGCACCGGGAACAGGAACGGCGGGGGGAACGGCACGGGAAGGGCTCCCGGTGCCAGAGAAACGCGAGTGCTCTTGGAAGAACTACCAGCACCGGGAGGAAGCTCCGGGAGGAAGAGGAGCACGTTCCTCTCGCGTTGTCTTCAATGGGGGAGGCTCAGAAGGGGTTTGTACGTCCCCTTTCAGGTGCCTGTCCAAAGACAGCTGTTTCCAGGGTGTCTAAGAACAGAGGAAAGCCCAGACCCTGTGCTCATCCTCAGAAGCTTCTTACCCTAGTTGTGTGCACTGAGAAAGAAATTTGCTCACACCCGAGCACTGTGGTGTCCCTGACATTTATATTCAAAATCACCTTCACTGTTCAGCTCACATGTGACTCCTTGACACTAAAGACTGTCACCTAAATCAGATCACCCCTGCCCTGTACTCCCTGCTAATCTCCCCAGAGCTGTCTAGCCATTTATGTTAAGCAGCCCTGATTGTTCCTGCTGACAGCACAGATTTTCATCAGCTCATGACACAACTGACCGACCTATCAGTATTTCTACACGGCTTTTCATCACCACCGTGTCTGAATGGCCACAGTACAAGGCAAGACACCACTCATGGCATGACCAAAGTGAGGCTGAACCCAGTGCTCAGTTGGCAAAAACCTGCTGTTCAGCCCCAGCCCGTCAGCAGAACATCTGAAAGTGCCTTCCTAGCAATGAAACCATTTGCTCCACCTTTTTCTGGACCCTGGGAGAGCAGATCCGGCTCAGGCAGGGAAATCACAGCTCACCATCAGTGCCCTCCCTGCGACCTCTTTCACCATCCACCTACTCTGCATGCAGAGCTAATCACTCAGCAAACCAAAGCCATCTCACCCGGGGGGAGCAGGGAACAGGGAACGTATTTGAGCCCAAGTTTTACAGCAGGCCCTGTGAAAGCTGCTCCCACTCTGCCCAGTCTCTCCCAGTGGCACAGATTAAGGTGCATGCACTGCTGCATCTTCTCTGCCTAAAAGCACAAGCTAAAAACCATCACTTTCTCAACAGAGCTGTGGACACACCTCCTTCCCCCAGCACAGACAGAACAGAGGTGCAGTGTTAGCAGTTCCAGAGGTGTCCCAGTATTTAGCCATGGAAGAACACAAAAGTAGGTAGCAGCATTTTCAGGTGTGGCACAACTGACTCTCACTTGGAGCCTGAGTGATCTCAGCCTACCAGCCACATCCACTCTCCTGCCCAGCTGTGTGCCAGCTGCCAGGCTCCAGAGAGGAGCTGCACCAAAGGCACTCTGGATACCACCAGGGCAGCTGAGGTTCAGCTGCTAGAAGAGGACAGTGCCACTCATGCTTGCAGTGCAGCAGCCACGTGAGATGCAGCGTGGTGGCAAGCACGGGCTGTCTGGACTAGTGTTCAGTCAAACTGAATAGGGCCAAGGAGAAAGCTGCCAGACGTGCCACCCAGACAGTGCTCAGGCAGATCCCTGGAGCACGCTCCCGCAGCAGCAGATTAAGGAGGACTTTGGCTGGGAGCTCCAGTCACCTCTGTGAGGCTGTCTGGCTGTAAATACAGGCAGGGCACAATCCACAGCCCTTCCTGGGGGGCTGTGCAGGGGAATGTGCTACTGATTCCTAAGGATTAAACCCAGCCTCCTCTTAACGTCTATACTTGAAAGAATCTTCTTTACCTAAATGGATTAATTAGGAAGACTATAAACCACACATGCAAAGCCACTCACACTACAAGATGCCCTATGTCACCCCCTGCCTGGCAGAAGAAGGTGCTCCCCTCACACAGACCATGCAGGGAGGACCCTGCCCTGGCCAACACGAGCCCCTGCCAGGTGCTGAGGTACCACAGGACACCCTGGGCTTCCCCTGGAGGGGACCCGGCCTGGGTGGCCCCACAGGGAGCTCCAGGGAGCCCCGGGCTGTGTGTGTGTGGGGAGGGGTCGTGGCAGCTGCTCCCCCCGCCCCA